TTTGGCACTAAACATCCTGTGACTTGCGACTCTCTTGACAAGTATGGGAATAGTTTCTTTGTGCTCTTCCATGATTCACACATTATCTTTTGCCTTTTCAATTTCCCCCCACAGTTCTCTACTGTCGCTTCCAAAGTCAACCACCATCTTTATTTCTATTCCTCTTACTTTCACCAGTGTTTTAGGAAATTGTACTGTCTCATCATAAATGCATCAGTGTCAGTCTAATGTTCAGTCTCTACGTGATGTATGTTATTTTTGTTACCTCATCCTATCTTGACATGTGCACTACGTCTGTGACATCTTTGCAAAGTGTCCCTGTCCTCCACACTTGTTGCATGTACCCCCTTCCCTCCGCCAAGGTGGACAAGATTCATCAAATTCATGATTACCACACCTATAACATTCACCTTTTTCCCCATTTGGGAGGGGGGTGTGGCCTTTGAAACTACAGACTATTAACTATCCTATCTCATGACTGCCACTAGATGGTTTTATGATGCACAACGCATACACCACATGTTATATGGAAATAACAATCTGCGCACAACATCTGCAGTAGTCTGCTAAGGGTGTGAACCAAGTGGATCCAGTTACGGTCTTGTCTCTGAACGCAATGATAATCTTTTTACCAGCTTAAGGATTAACATCTTCTTTGCATGTGTTGAAAACTTATCTAATCATGGCTATCACACAAGTACTCACCACTTCCAGTCAAATATACTGGTTGTAATTGCATCCAATTTGTCAACTCGCCATCCATTCACTCACTCAAATCCTCAAGAATGTTATTCGCCTATATCCTGTTCCGCTCATTTCTGTACATGTTTGACATGTTTGCTCACAAACAACTAAACCTTGTTGACTTGTGATAAGAGTATTTAAATCATAGAGTTATCAAACAAGTCTTTATAAATGACATATTGAAGATAATATTTGGTAATCGTAGTCCTAAATAACTATTAAAAATAGCTAGACGTTTCGAGCAATGGCTCCCAGCCAAATTTTACCAACATCCTAAAGAAAAAGACCACAAATGAAAACAAAGCAACTTGAGGTACATGTCTGTGTCATTGCACTTGGTAAAGCATTTAAATAGTAATTAAATTAAAATAATTCAGAATACTTTGATGATTTTACATACTACCATGGGGAATATATTAACATAAGGAATTATGAACTGAAATTTGTGTCAATCAATTAATATGCATAAATGTGGTTCTAAGAGCCACCATAAAAATGCACGATTCTCTCTTCTAGATATATCTGGTCCAAAAGACACATATACATTTACTAAACTAGCCAAGGAGGCTTTAATGTTGTCAAATGCAACAATGTTTTAGATGAAAACCATCCCAGTTTTTAACCAAGTCTAACAAGGATGCACATTTTAACTGACATTTGGAACAAGAAATATTTGAATTAACATAATTTTTAATAATTCATAAATTTTAGTGGAAAACTATCAATACCTTAAAATATTGGTACATGTTGCGACTCTGAGCCACAAAGTCAAAAGTTTAATCTCCTTGCATGGACCAATCAGATTGTCAGGATTTTTAAAATCTGTATTAGAATCCACATCTAATAAAAGCTGCACTAATTCTTTGTGAACAATTGAAAACCAAAATTGTTGCATTGTACCATTTTAATAAAAACCGCAGTTTCTAATAAAGATTTTACATTACATAGCATGGAGATAATTATTACAGATATACAAGATAAACCAGGGTAGCCAGAGTTGTCTCCATAGAAACGTGGATTATGCACCAAAAGCTATTTTGTGCTAACAAAGTTAAAACGCGGTGGTCGTCGCGCAGCGCGTGTTCGAATTTCATGTAAATAAACAATGTATTTTACATGCGTTGTATACGTCACTATGAGTCCCATATCGAACAAAACGCGGCACGACGACTGCCACCCTTTAAAGAAGCTGAAGTTTTGTCATTGCCATCAAAATTTTACGATAAATTCTGACAAACTGACAGCACTACACAATTTCTACAAATATCTAGATTTTGTACAACTGGAGAATTCTGCTGGTAAACTTTACTATTTTTCAAGATGTGTGCTGTATTTATTTTTCAAAGGTACATTTTACAACATGTGATAAAACATACCAAGTAAGCCAAATTTAGCTCAATGGTTGCTGAAAGAATAAAAACAAGAACAAAATTAGGTAAAGGTTTTTCGCTCACTCATCTCAGATATTAGCATATAACTAAGATTGGAAAATTGCCTCAAGCAAATTATTCAGCTATTTAGAAAACAGGAAAAAAAAAAACAAGCAGCCTCTTGACTGAGATAGGTCCACTGTTAGCAATACACATTGCAATTAAAAAATTGAAGATATCATGAAATGAACAAATGTAATAGGTCTATCCAAGGTACATATACACCAAGTAGCAAATCAACCAGGCTTGTTGTTTTCAAGAAGTGATCGAAAAAGTAACAAGCAACTTGACGACCAAAATAGCTCTACTGTCCTACAAGGACATTGTGGTAGCTCGAACAATGCACATAAGACAAAATGTGTATATAACCTACAAAAAACTTCCTCAAAATTATTCACAAAAATAATGCAATTGTTGACTGGCACCGACTGATAATTGCCAATATGAACAGCTCCATTCTATAATCTACAAGGACAGCAGAGCTAAGAAGTTAATGCGGACAATGGAGATGGACAATCACTCGTGTGATAACTCAACAAAGTCAACAGCGAACATGCATGTGTCTGAATGCATAAAACATCAACACAATGAACTGCTGTATACAGATGATATTTACCAATCTTACCAACCAATGTCTGCTGGTACAAATCACATTGCAACACAACTATTATATAGTGTTTAAAAAAGCAAAGTGATGATGACATTCATTTTTGAAAATTTTAAAAATAATTTTCTGATTTTGCATCATTGTATTTCAAGATATATTTAAATTATAACACCCAAAGCATCATATTAGATGAGGAGGGTTTCACTGAACACATTATTGTGTTTAGAACCTTCTTTGAATCCAACAGGACACTGTGAGAGGTTCAATATTGTTGTTATAAATCACCACCATCAGAATTGAACAAATTTGGGGGCTTTTTGTTGACATGAATTTACTTGCGAGTCGAGGTTTACATTACTGAGTTATAATGTAAAGTTTAAGTCATGACAAGCTTTTGTTTTGATAGTGGCGGTTTATAACATACCAGTCATCATGCTACATCATTTTTCATATGTTCCCCAGTCATCGTTCTACATCATTTTCCATATGGTCCCCAGTCATCATTCTAAATCGTTTTTCATATGGTCCCCAGTCATCGTTCTACATCATTTTTCATATGTTCCACAGTCATCGTTCTACATCGTTTTTCATATGGTCCCTAGTCATGCCACAATCTGTTTGATATGGTTCTCAGTCATCGTGTCAAATTGTGTTTGATATGGTTACATTTTTGTATATATGGTCTATAAAGAATTTGAATGTCTGCTGCTTTAAACCTCAAGTAGTAGCCATGGGGAAAGGGTAATTACATACTATATCTAATAATAACATTAGTAAAAGAATAAAGAATAAAATAGATGAGCCAAAATCAATGTAAAAATAATTCAGCGAGTAAATAAGAATCTCAAATGAAATAAAAACTGTATCTTCATTCGTTCAAATGTTCAAATTTTCTTGCAGTGGAGAAGTTCATAAGACTGGGACAAACCAAGGGCGTAAGCGTACACTCTAGAATCAATAACAATGTCATCTTCTTTAGACAGAACTGAAAAAATAAGAAGAAAAAATCTGATAGATGTGACCACGCAGTATTAGTTTATTTGAAGACATTATTTGCAGTTTGATAAATGTCAACACAGTAGGCTTATGAGAATATAACAAAATTTGTTGACGATTTCAGCTGGCAGGAGGATTTACCCATACTGCATGGTATTCATGTTTCGGCTTACTTCTAAACATGAAAAAACCATGATATACGATGTATTTTGACATGGCTTGCACAATAATTATCCATATCAAGTGCACATCTGAATGGAGTCAAGACGCACACACATGAATGGCATCAAGACGTGCACACCTGAATGGCATCAAGACGCACACACCTGAATGGCATCAAGACGTGCACACCTGAATGGTGTCAAGACACACACACCAGAATGGCATCAAGACGTGCACACCTGAATGGAGTCAAGACGCGCACACCTGAACTGCGTCAAGACGCACACACCTGAACGGTGTCAAGACGTGTACACCTGAATGGCGTCAAGACGTGCACACCTGAATGGCATCAAGACGTGCACACCTGAATGGAGTAAAGACGTGCACACCTGAATGGCATCAAGACGTGCACACCTGAATGGCATCAAGACGTGCACACCTGAATGGCAGCAAGACGTGCACACCTGAATGGCATCAAGACGTGCACACCTGAATGGTGTCAAGACACACAAACCTGAATGGCATCAAGACGTGCACACCTGAATGGCGTCAAGACGCGCACACCTGAACTGCGTCAAGACGCACACACCTGAATGGCATCAAGACGTGCACACCTGAATGGCATCAAGACGTGCACACCTGAATGGAGTCAAGACGTGCACACCTGAATGGCATCAAGACGTGCACACCTGAATGGCATCAAGACGTGCACACCTGAATGGCGTCAAGACGTGCACACCTGAATGGCATCAAGATGTGCACACCTGAATGGCATCAAGACAAGCACACCTGAATGGCATCAAGACGTGCACACCTGAATGGCATCAATACGCACACACCTGAATGGTATCAAGACGTGCACACCTGAATGGTGTCAAGACACAAACACCAGAATGGCATCAAGACGTGCACACCTGAATGGAGTCAAGACACGCACACCTGAACTGCGTCAAGACGCACACACCTTAACGGTGTCAAGACGTGCACACCTGAATGGCATCAAGACGTGCACACCTGAATGGCGTCAAGACGTGCACACCTGAATGGCATCAAGACGTGCACACCTGAATGGCATCAAGACGTGCACACCTGAATGGCATCAAGACGTGCACACCTGAATGGCATCAAGACGCATACACCTGAATGGCATCAAGACGCATACACCTGAATGGCATCAAGACGTGCACACCTGAATAGCATCAAGACGTGCACACCTGAACTGTGTCAAGACGCACACACCTGAACGGTGTCAAGACGTCCACACCTGAATGGTGTCAAGACGTCCACACCTGAATGGTGTCAAGACGTCCACACATGAATGGAATCAAGACGTGCACACCTGAACTGCGTCAAGACGTGCACACCGGAATGGGGTAAAGACGTGCACACCGGAATGGGGTAAAGACGTGCACACCTGAATGGTGTCAAGACGTGCACACCTGAATGGTGTCAAGACGTGCACACCTGAATGGGGTAAACACGTGCACACCTGAACTGCGTCAAGACGTGCACACCTGAACTGTGTCAAGACGCACACACTTGAATGGCATCAAGACGTGCACACCTGAATGGGGTCAAGACGTGCAGACCAGAACGGTGTCAAGACGCACACACCTGAACGGTGTAAAGACGCACACACCTGAACAGTGTAAAGACGCACACACCTGAGCAGTGTAAAGACGTGCACACCTGAATATTGTCAAGACGTGCATACTTGAATGGCGTCAAGACGCACACACCTGAATGGGGTCAAGACGCACACACCTGAACGGCGTCAAGACGTGCAAACCTGAATGGCAGCAAGAAGTGCACACCTGAATGGCATCAAGACGTGCACACCTGAATGGCATCAAGACGTGCACAACTGAACTGCGTCAAGACGTGCACACCTGAACTGCGTCAAGACGTGCACACCTGAACTGTGTCAAGACGCGCACACCTGAATGGTGTCAAGACGCGCACACCTGAACGGTGTCAAGACACGCACACCTAAATGGGGTCAAGACATGCACACCTGAACTGCGTCAAGACGAGCACACCTGAATGGAGTCAAGACGTGCACACCTGAATGGTGTCAAGACGCACACACCTGAACTGCGTCAAGACGCACACACCTGAACGGAGTCAAGACTCACACACCTGAATGGCATCAAGACGCGCACACCTGAATGGCATCAAGACGCACACACCTGAATGGCATCAAGACGCGCACACCTGAACTGCGTCAAGACACACACACCTGAATGGCATCAAGACGTGCACACCTGAATGGCATCAAGACGTGCACACCTGAATGGGGTCAAGACGTGCACACCTGAATGGGGTCAAGACGTGCACACCTGGACGGTGTCAAGGCGTGCACACCTGAACGGCGTCAAGACACACACAGCTGAATGGCATCAAGACGTGCACACCAGAATGGCGTCAAGACGTGCACACCTGAATGGCTTCAAGATGCGCACACCTGAACGGTTTCAAGACGCGCACACCTGAACGGTGTCAAGACGTGCACACCTGAACGGTGTCAAGACGTGCACACCTGAATGGCATCAAGACGTGCACACCTGAATGGAGTAAGACGTGCACACCTGAACTGCGTCAAGACGCACACACCTGAATGGAGTCAAGACGCACACACCAGAACTGCGTCAAGACGCGCACACCTGAATGGTGTCAAGATGCACACCTGAACTGCGTCAAAGACGCACACACCTGAATGGGGTAAAGACGTGCACACCTGAATGGGGTCAAGACGTGCACACCTGAACTGCTTCAAGACGTACAGACCTGAAAGGTGTCAAGACGCACACACCTGAACGGTGTCAAGACTCACACACCTGAACGGTGTAAAGACGCTCACACCTGAATATTGTCAAGACGAGCACACCTGAATGGAGTCAAGACGTGCACACCTGAACTGAATGAGGTCAAGACGTGCACACCTGAATATTGTCAAGACGTGCACACCTGAATGGCAGCAAGACGTGCACACCTGAATGGCAGCAAGACGTGCACACCTGAATGGGGTCAAGACGTGCACACCTGAACTGCGTCAAGACGCACACACCTGAATGGCATCAAGACGTGCACACCTGAATGGGGTCAAGACGTGCACACCTGAACTGCGTCAAGACGTGCACACGTGAATGGTGTCAAGACGCACACACCTGAACGGTGTCAAAACTCACACACCTGAACGGTGTCAAGACTCACACACCTGAACGGTGTCAAGACGCACACACCTGAACAGTGTAAAGACGCGCACACCTGAATGGGGTCAAGACGTGCACACCTGAACAGCGTCAAGACGTGCAAACCTGAATGGCAGCAAGACGTGCAAACCTGAATGGCAGCAAGACGTGCACACCTGAATGGCATCAAGACGTGCACACCTGAATGGCATCAAGACTTGCACACCTGAAAGGCGTCAAGATGTGCAAACCTGAACAGCATCAAGACTTGCACACCTAAACTGTGTCAAGACGCACACACCTGAAAGACATAAAGAAGTACACACCTGAATGGCATCAAGACGTGCATACCTGTATGGTGTCAAGACGCGCACACCTGAATGGCGTCAAGACGTGCAAACCTGAACGGCGTCAAGACGTGCAAACCTGAACGGCGTCAAGAAGTACACACCTGAATGGCATCAAGACGTGCAAACCTGAACGGCGTCAAGACGTGCAAACCTGAACGGCGTCAAGACGTGCAAACCTGAACGGTGTCAAGACGTGCACACCTGAACGGCGTCAAGACGTGCACACCTGAACAGCATCAAAACGTGCACACCTGAACATCCTCAAGACATGCACACCTGAGTGGCGTTAAGACGTGCACACCTGAATGGCGTCAAGAAGCGCACACCTCAACTGCGTCAACCCACACACACCTGAATGGCATCAAGACGTGCACACCTGAATGGCATCAAGACGTGCACACCTGAATGGCATCAAGACGTGCACACCTGAATGGGGTCAAAGCGTGCACACCTGGACGGTGTCAAGGCGTGCACACCTGGACAGTGTCAAGGACGTGCACACCTGGACAGTGTCAAGGCGTGCACACCTGGACGGTGTCAAGGCGTGCACACCTGAACGGCGTCAAGACGTGCACACCTGAATGGCGTCAAGATGCACACACCTGAATGGCATCAAGACGTGCACACCTGAATGGCGTCAAGACGTGCACACCTGAATGGCATCAAGACGCGCACACCTGAACGGTTTCAAGACGCGCACACCTGAATGGAGTAAGACGTGCACACCTGAACTGCGTCAAGACGCACACACCTGAACGGTGTCAAGACGTGCACACCTGAATAGGGTCAAGACGTGCACACCTGAATGGCGTCAAGACGTGCACACCTGAATGGAGTCAAGACGCACACACCAGAACTGCGTCAAGACGTGCACACCTGAACTGCGTCAAGACGTGCACACCTGAACTGTGTCAAGACGTGCACACCTGAACTACGTCAAGACGCACACACCTGAACTGCGTCAAGACGCACACACCTGAACGGTGTTAAGACGCGCACACCTGAATGGTGTCAAGATGCACACCTGAACTGCGTCAAGACTCACACACCTGAACGGTGTCAAGACGCACACACCTGAACAGTGTCAAGACGCACACACCTGAACAGTGTAAAGACGCACACACCTGAACAGTGTAAAGACACGCACACCTGAATGGGGTCAAGACGAGTACACCTGAATGGAGTCAAGACGTGCACACCTGAATGAGGTCAAGACGTGCACACCTGAATATTGTCAAGACGTGCACACCTGAATGGCAGCAAGACGTGCACACCTGAATGGGGTC